GAGGGGCTGTAATCTGGCACACTCAAGATAAACATACACCAGAGTGTCCCGGCGCACTCGAGATAAATGTGCGTCTCCCTCACTCCACAAAAGGGGCAAGTGTCAGGGACAGGGGGGGGCCCCACCAAGTACACGTCCGTGCTCCCTGGTGGGCCGTGGAACCAAGGTCAAATAGAGACTGGCCCACTGGGGCTCTCCACCCTCTATTGGTGATAGGAGGTCGCGCCACTTGGTGTCTGGGCGGGACACGAGGGTGGGGAAGTGGAGCGTGTTAAGCACAAGCGTGTACAGGTGAGTCTTTGGTGTGGTTCGGAGGGGGACCAGCTGCAATGTGTGCAGCCGACTCGGGTGATGAGGGGGAGGCGGTTGGGAAGGTACACCGGGTTGGGGAGCGATGGAGAGATCAGGAGGACCAGGGGTGAGGGGCGAGCGGGGTGCAACCTCTCGCAGGACCCCGTCGAGATAAACTTGAGCAGTGGGCGGCAAAGCATCCTTCACCTCCTGACGTACGCACCAGGGAGTACGCAGGGTGGAGAGCCCCATACGCTGGGGAGCACCTGAGGATCCATCCAGTCTCCCCTGTCGTAGTCCAGGAGCTCTTTGATCCTGGTGACTTCTGCCAGGACCAACCTCTGGAGCACTGAGGGGCACTCTGCCACCTGCACACGAAGATGGGGATTGTGTAATAGGGGCTCCACAAGGAGGTCTCCCCCACGGTGGCTCCCAAGGACCTAGTCTCCAAAAGCAGCTTCCAGGTCCGGAGGAGGTCCTGGTAGAAGGCCGGAAGCCCAGAGAGGTCTTGCGGAAGAACTCTCAAATAGAGGAGCTGCTGGTCATATCGAAACCATCAGAGGCGGCGAAGGAAAGTGTGAGCCAGCATGCTCCACGCCAGACTACCTGCATCATATAGCAGCCTCTGCAAGGCCTGGAGGCAGAGGACATGGACCCGCGTGCACAAACACATCAGGCCCTGCCCTCCCTCCTCCAGGGGAAGATGGAGAACCCCTGCAGAGACCCAGTGCAGTCCTGCTGGATCTGAGCCAGGAAACCAGGGGTCAGGACCAGGGTGTTGAGATGGTGCCTGAGCATGGACAGGACCAGTTGGTTAAGCACCACGCAGGGAGAGGCACCGGAGCACTCCTGTCCATCTCCGCAATTGCTCAGCCACCCTGGACCCTAAACCTTGCCAGTTCTCCGGCGGGGAGGGATGCGTGGCAGAGAGAAAAATGCCAAGATAAAGCAGCGGACCCGTGC